TCATTCAAACTGGTCAAGTGGTGCATTGGTCATTTTCACTCTTATCTGGGCAAGTAGAGGAAGAGGAATTATCAGGAAGATGGGGCGCTCTCCACAGTTCCACAGCTCCATACGAAAGATGATGCAGTTGTGGCTCCTGAGCCAAGGAACTCCTAAGCTGAAATAATGTTGGCAATGAGGATCTTGCTATATAATGTGGAACTCTACATGTAGTAAAAGCATTAGAAGTTCATTTGGTTGAGGGAGTTCCCTGGTGGTCCAGTGGCTAAGATTCCCCGCTCCCAGTACAGGGTGCCCAGGTTTGATTCCTGATGGGAAATAGATCCTACAAACCACAACTAAGAGTTCATATACCTCAACTACAAAATCCCACAGGCTGCAATTAAGACCCAGTGCAGACAGATAAATATTTAAAGAGAAAAACTTCATTTGGTTGAGCCCTGAGTAGCTGACAGTTGAACCTAAAAACAAATGTGTCCTGCCAACCAATGTGAAGCTGTGATCTCTCTCTTCACCCACTGGACCCTCACTCCCACTCTATTCCAATTTCATTGGCTTTAAGAATAAAAAGAATTTGTGGTAGGGCCAAGGTCTCTCTGGTCCCAAGGAGGATCAAAGGCCATATACACTCTGAACTTTGGGATATGGAGGGTTTTAAACTTCTGTGACTCTATAGGATCAGGCACCCAAAGGGCCAACCTTCTCACTTTCATGGAAGTGAGAAGAGGTGCCTAGGGGTACCCAGGGGTGCCCAGGAAAGAAGAAATGCCCAAATACAGTTAATACAATTTGGATAGGGTTCATAGGGGTCAGGGCTTCCCTGGTGGCTCAGATGGTAAAGAATCCACCTGCAATGCGTGAGACCTGGATTATGTCCTGGATTAGGAAGATCCCCTGGAGAAGGGAAAGGCTACCCACTTCAGTATTCTGGCCTGAAGAATTCCATAGGCTGTGTAGTCCATGGGGTCGCAAAGAGTTGGACACAACTGAGCAACTTTCACTTTCACTTTCATAAGAGGCACAGTAAGTGAGGGAAGCTGATGTGACCTTGTGGGTGGGACCTATGAATCAAGTTGATGGTTTTTTTTTTTTTTTTTTGGTTGCTTCTACATCTAATAGGAATTGGTATATTATATGCATGCACTTCCCATCCCAATGGTGTCAAAGGATTCTCCCATGAGTTTTAGGAAAGTTGCTTCTAACTTTGGTACTGCACTCCTACCTTTTTTAATTTCAGTGGCTAATGAATTGAGATCAGAGGGCTTCCCAGGTGGCACCAGTGGTTAAAAAAATATGCTTGACAATTCAGGAGATGCAAGAAATGTGGTTCCATCCCAGAGTCGAGAAGATCCCCTGGAGTAGGAGGTGGCAATCCGCTCCAGTATTCTTGCCTGGAAAATTCCATGGACAGAGGAGCCTGGCTGGCTAAAGTCCATGGTGTCACAAAGAGTTGGACACAACTGAGCGATGGAGCACACACACACAAAGGGACTTAGAGTGAGCTTAGTACAATAGCTGGTGTCCTTGTAAGAAAAAGTACATTTGGACAGACATACAGGGAGGGGACACCATCTGAAGGTGTAAGACAGGGAATCTCCTTCATGACGATGGAGGTTAAGAGTGGAGTGAATCGGCAGGGACACCAAGTATTAATAGTAATATTAGGACGAGGCAATGAAGGATCTTTCTTGAGAAACTTCAGAGGAATGCAGCCCTGTTGGCACCTTGATTTCAGACTTCCAGCCTCCAGAGCTGTGAGGGAATAAATTCCTGTTGCTTTAAGCCACCTAGTTTGTGGTACTTTGGGTGACAGTCCAAGGGAGCTAATATATAGGCTTTATCCATGGGATTCTCCAGGCAAGAATACTGGAGTGTGTGAGTCTTTCCCTTCTCCAGGGTATCTTCCTGATTCAGGGGTTGAATGGGATCTCCTGCACTGCAGGCAGATTCTTTTTGTCTGAATCACCAGGGAAGCCCCTCCCTAGACTGAGCCCTGAGGAAACTCAGGGTGTGAGAATACCGGAGACTGACCCCAAATAGCTGAGGTGCATATCAAAGGAATGATTTCAATGAGCCCAGACTCTTGTATCTTCCCATAAATATAAAAGCAATAAATTCCTTAACTTGAGATACCTGGATTTCTTTAATTAACAATTATCTTTTGATGTTTAGACTACCTTCCCTTTGTTGCAAAGTGAAGTGAAGTAAAGTGAAGTCGCTCAGTCGTGTCCGACTCTTTGTGACCCCATGGACTGTAGCCTACCAGGATCCTCAGTCCATGGGATTTTCCAGGCAAGAATACTGGAGTGGGTTGCCATTTCCTTCTTCCTTTGTTGCAAACCTTCTATATAACCTGATTCCTCCTCCCCTCACCTCCTCAGAGCAGTTCTCTCAGGGTTACTTGAGATGCAGCCTCAGGGGCTTGAAGTCCTAAAAATTCCCACTGAATAAAACTTAATGCTCTGGGAGACTTCCCTGACAGTCCAGTGGTTAAGACTCTGCACTTCCACTGCAGGGATCATGGGTTCAAGCCCAGGTCAGGGAACTAAGCTCTTGCATTCCACAAATAAGTAAATATTTTCCAGTGGTAAATGTGCCACCTGTTTCTTCTTCTGGTTATAGTAAAAATACAAGAGAGAGAAATTGAGGGTAAACTGTTAAACAAAAAGGATCCAGGACTTGAACTTGGACATCCTCAGGTGTTAAAATGGCAAAGAAAAAGACAAAAATGTGACTTTTTAAACTTCTGCTGAAACTTCAGAAAAAAAGTAAGTATCCACTCACACACAAAAAATCCTTTGCAAAGACGAAGGGTGTGCCTCTTAGATTCTCTTAATCAAACCAGGGGCCTCCAGGAGGTTTAAGGGGCACTCACCCTTATCCTTCTCAGCAGGAAGCTATAACAGAGAAGGCATTAATTTGGAAAGATCTGTAGAGATGGGTTTTATCAAATGGAGTTAAGTCCATTGAAGTCCAGGGGAGCCCTACAAAGCTTTTGAAAAGCTTATTAAAAAAAAAAGCGGGGGGTGGGGGGAAGCACTGCTTATTGGACTGAAAGGGCAGACAGAGTGCAAGAAGAAAGGAAGTTGTCAAATCTCCAAAATTCTGCTGGCAGGAAGAACTCTGATAAAATTACTCAGCTTTAGAGGAGTTAGGGAAAACGCTGAAACCACCCGCCTTGGACAGGCACCATAGTAACAACCACTTGAACAAATTATCTTAAAAGGAGGTCCTGGTAAGGCACACAGGACTAACATATTACCAAAGAACTCAGGAAAACTCAAGAGAGGAGACTCCAACCCATATGTCCTACCACCTCCCAGGATTCCCCTCACTAGCATCCCCCTTGACTGAACCATGCAAGCGCCCTCAGGAAGGATGCTGAATCAGAGTAATTGGCCAGAGACAACCCATAACTAATCCCATCACCATAAAACCCAAGGCTGTGTTGTGAGCTAGTGGCAGAGCAGTTCTCCTGGGTTCCCTTACCCTTCTGCTCTCCAACCAGGCACCCCTCCCCAATAAAGTCTTTTGCTTTGTTAGCACCTGTGTCTCCTCATATGATTATTTCTAGTGTTCGACAAGAGCCCACTCTCGGACCGTGGAAGGGGTCCCCCTTCCTGCAACAGAAGTGTGCTACCTTCCATGAAAAAGGAGAAAACCAAAGAGTGGAGCTGAACGACAGGTTGGGTTAACCCCAGGTTTTCAAAACTAATCAAGAGATGTGAAACATGTGACCAGCTGTATTTCTGAGCTGCTGGACCAGTGACCCCTTTGAGCCTCCTAGTGTCCCTCCTTTTTGGTTTTTGTTTGTTTGTTTGTTTGTTTTTTGTCCCTCCTTTTTGACTATTGCAGGGCAGCAGAGTATGTCATCCCAAACCATGGAAGGTAGCACACTTCTGCTGCAGGAATGGGGATCCCTTCCATGGTCCGAGAGTGGGCCTTCTTGGCATAAGGATTGTTTTGAGCTATTTTTTAAAAAAAAATAAAGCTGCAGACATAGGAGAAACTCTGAAAACAGAGAGGTTACCCTTTACTAAAGGAAATCTACATTTATTTTACATTAGAAAGGGGACCTGTACTTGCAAGGGGCCTGTGTACCTGCCAAGTTGCTCAGTCATGTCCAACTCTGCGACCCCATGGACTGTAGCCCACCAGGTTCCTCCATCCATGGGGATTCTCCAGGCAAGAATACTAAAGTTGGGTCGCCATGCCCTCCTTCAGGGGATCTTCCCAACCTAGGAATTGAGCTGGCATCTCTTATATCTCCTGAACTCGCAAGTGGGTTATTTTACCACTAGTGCCACCTGGGAAGGGACCTATTATCAAAGATAACTTTTCACCTGAGAGACTTATCCGCAGAGCAGGGCAGCCTCTGTTTACCAAACATTTTCTACACTCACCTTCCCTTGAATTGAATTTCTTCTCTCCTCAGTATCTTTCTTTTGTCTTTAGTTGAAGATGATATTTTGCTGGTCACTTGGACAATTACTCAGCTTTCTGGCATATCTCCCAGGTATACACTGATACCAAATTTTACTGCCTGCTGAAATTCCCTGGTGACCCAAGGGTTGGCCTTCCCTGGTGGCTCAGAGGGTAAATAATCTGCTTGCAATGTAGGAGACCTGAGTTCAGTCCCAGGGTCAGGAAGATCTCCTGGAGAAGGGAATGGCAACCCACTCCAGAACTCTTGCCTGGAGAATCCCATGGACAGAGAAGCCTGCTGGCCTACTCACTAGTCCAGTGAGTCACAAAGCTAAGACATGACTGAGGAACTTTCACTTTTTTCCACTTTCCAGGGTTTGGACTCTGAGCTTCCACTGCAAGGGGCACAAGTAGAATCCATGGTTTGGAACTAAGATCCTTCAGGCCATGCAGCTGGCAAAGTTTTCATAACTGCTGAGCCTCCAAATCATCACCTGTGTGACTTAAATACATTTTGATCATCAACCTCCTTGATATTCTATTGAAACAGCAGAAGACAGCTCAAAACCCTTTACCTGCTTTGGGGTAAGTGATAGACTGTTCACAGTTTCTGACTCAGGAATCTCGTGCCTCCTGTCTGCATTCATGAAGCTGTGGCAGTCCAACCTGTTGATCTGCAAGTAGTGAAAATTCTCAGACCTTTCACAGTTCTCAACAAGGTGATATATGTTACATCTGGACCAAGACAGAGGCGAAAGTTAAATGCATGGTCTGTCCTCTCACCCACTCCACCTTTTATTTATTTGAGGGGGGGGGCTTTTTTTTTAACCAGATTGTACCAGGTTCAATAGTGGTCCCCAAAAGGTATGTCCAGGTTGTAATCCCCAGAACCGGCAAAGATGACCTTCTGTGGAAAAATGACCTTTGCACATGTAATTTTGGACTCTGAGATGAGATTACCCTGGATTCAGGGTGGCCCCTTGTTTGTGCTCAGTTATGTCTGACTCTTTGTGACCCCATAAACTGTAGCCCACCAGGCTCTTCTGTTCATAGAATTTTCCAGGCAAGAATACTGGAATGGGTTGCCATTTCCTACTTCACTCCCCTCCCACCTTCCTTTTTCACCTCTACCAGCCAGAAGCACACAATGAAAGAAATTGTTTCTCTGAATTGTTTCATGAAAGACAGTCCTTAGGTTAAGAGGGAAAACCGGCCATTCTGTTAGATAAGAGAGAAATAATTTTTTAGTATACTGACTGAAATGTTGATATTTATTTGTGATAGTGGTGGGAGATGTGCATTAATTTGACCAAAAAATGACAGATGAACAAATGTGAGTGGCTGGACAGTTCACACATGAGGATTCCTGGAAATATTTGTGAAAACCAACTACTGTTGAAGGCAGAAAGAAGTCCATTTTAGTGGGCACCAGAGGGAGTTATTCTGTTTACGCATCTGCCAAGTTATATTAGCTGTCATTTCAGAGCCTAAAAGTCCCATAGAGTGAAGGGTGTTGGGGAAAGGAACCAAGAGAAAATACAGGCTTGAGAACTATTTCTAAGTAAGAAGTTTGGTGTGGTTCCTGATACCCTGAACTAGCTAGAAGCAAAAACTTTCCCAAGTTGTGCATTTGTGCTAAGTCGCTTCAATTGTGCCTGATTCTGTGCAATGCTATGGACTGTAGCCCACCAGGCTCCTCTGTCCATGGGATTCTCCAGGCAAGAATCCTGGAGAGGGTTGCCATGCCCTCCTCCAGGGTATCTTCCCCACCCAGGAATAGAACCTAAGTCTCTTACATCACCTGCATTGACAGATGGCTTCTTTACCATTAGCACCACCTGAGAAGCCCACCCAAGTTGTAGGGGATTTTCTTGTCAAAGAAACCAAATTTCAGCACAGGAAACCTTTGACATTTATTGCTAGAACTACCACCAGATCCCCAAACTTGCCTAAGCAGAAAGCAGTCTGCCAAAACCTTTCAGCCAGCATGGAGTGTATAACTAACATCCACTTTACCTGTGACTATCCAGGAAAGCGAAGTAGGAAAAACCATGCAGAATACAGTTGAGGTTCATAGAGGACAAAGTTCCCAGTTGCTAGGTCTCAGATGAGAACCAGGATCTAACCAAGTAAGTTTTCCATCTCTGCCAGGGCAGGTCCTCATGGTGCCTTGCTACAGGACTGTGTTTTTAGTGTTCCCCACCCCAATCCCACCGCCATATCTACCCCTCTCTGAATGTTCAGGTATTTTTTACAACGGATATCTTGTCCCTGCTCTGTAACTGTATAATGGAGGGATGAAGGGACAAGGGCATATGATCATATTTTATTTAATAGAGAATAGGATCATGACAATGTACCTAACAGCAAGATCCTGGATTCTGAGCTCAGAGCAGAGAACTTTAAGGCGTTGGGAACTGTCTGAGCCAAAATATAGAAGCAGTGTGTGCGTGAACCATCAAGTGGAAGAAAGCAAAGCCACATGAACATATTAGTGAGAAATGTACTGCTGTTAGGCCACTAAAATTGGAGAACTATTTCTTATAGGACTGGTGTTACCTTAAGTTGATGGTTCTCAAACTTATACTCATTTTCAGTCCTTAGAAAGTTTTTATTTAAGACACTTTTTTTCCTAATCATGGCCTCTACATTAAATCATAACACCATAGATATAATCTATACCTATTAATTTACTATAAGTATCTGTGCTTCATAGAGTAAGATGCACCTCCTTCCTGACCCAAAACCAATTTTTGTCCCCTTGGGGGCACTGTTGCCCTGGTTAAGAAGGAGTGCCCTACATGAGACTGAAATCTGTCTCATGCCCACCTCTCTCATCTCAAATTTCCCTCTTATATCTGCATACTGATAATTTATTTTAGCCTTCTTTTAATTCCTTGAATGTACCAAGCTCTTCTGAACCTTAAGACCTTTTTTCCTTGCTTCCTTTTTTCCCCTTACTTCCTTTTTCTCCCGTCCTCTAATTTTTCATATTTCTTAACATTTTGTCTGTGATTTTTTTGCCCAGAAACCTGGTTTTAAAGTAGTTCTCATATTTCTCTCTTAGTACTCATGTTTTCTATAAGACCACTTAGGACAATTTATAATATTTGACTGTTTTGGTCCTTAATGTCTGTTTTACTCACTATAAGACACTCCATGTATACTGAGAACCTAGTGTTGAAATAAGTTAAGTCCAAGATGGAACTGCTGCTACTTGCTGTGCTGTGTCAGAAAACTGAAATTTAGATAAATTTAGTGTCCCTATAAATGGTCCACTTGACCAGAAACGTAGTATGTGTATCCAGGCAGCTGATTCTCGATTACCAATAATCTGTAAAGATTTCCTGGTTCTAAATAAGGTTGGATATACAACCCCAGCCAACCAACTTAAATCAAATCCCCTTTCCTTATTCCCCAACTGACCTGCCAACTTTTAAGGAAACTCCTGACCTCCAAGCCCATCATGCCCTGTTTCCAAATGGCTATTTCCAAAATTTTATAAAACTTACTCTTCCCAAATATTCGATGACAAATTTAAATCATAATGGAGTAATCACAGTTCAGGCGCACAAAAATAGAGGATCTGGTCTCAAACATGTCTCTGCATCACGAGAACTTGAACTTTCTTTGAACTGTTCTGGGTCCAAGGATTTCACGAACTGTATTCAGAACACCAGCCAGCTGCAACCTTGTGGTCTTAAGGTCTCGCTTTTAACTATGCAGCATTTTTGGATTCCAACCAATCCTTACTTAACAAGCATCCCAATACTTGCCAGCTCCAATTACAATTCTTGATGAACAAGTCGTGAAATTAAATATAACTTTGCAACTTTTTTGCCTTTATAAGCCTCCCCCATTTTGTAGTCTGAGGGAACACAATTCAAGTCCTAGAATCTGTGTTTCCCCACACTACAGTCCTAGATAAGCCCCAAATATTTTAATTTCAATCAGGTCTCTGTTTCTGAAATTTGGCTAACATGTCCATTGGGAAGTGCTCCACTATTTGTGAGACACTGTACTCATCCAATGGAGAAGGCAATGGCACCCCACTCCAGTACTCTTGCCTGGAAAAATCCCATGGACGGAGGAGCCTGGTAGGCTGCAGTCCATCGGGTCGCTACAAGTCGGACATGACTGAGCGACTTCACTTTCACTTTTAACTTTCACACATTGGAGAAGGAAATGGCAACCCACTCCAGTATTCTTGCCTGGAGAATCCCAGGGAAGGGGGAGCCTGGTGGGCTGCTGTTTATGGGGTCGCACAGCGTCGGACACGACTGAAGCGACGCAGCAGCAGCAGCAGCAGTACTCATCCAATCCATGGATTGTTTTCACTTGAATAAAGGATATCAAATTTACTATGAAACTGAGAAGAACATTATGGAGCCTTCCTAGGTCTTCTCGGGTGGCGCTAGTGGTAAAGAACCCACCTGAAATGCAGAAGACATAAGAGACTCTGGTTCGATCACTGGGGGTTGGGAAGATCCCTTGGAGGAGGGCATGGCAATCCACTCCAGTAATCTTGCCTGGAGAACCCCATGGACAGAGGAGCCTGGCGGGCTACAGTCTATGGGGTTGCAAAGAAATGGACATGACTGAGCAACTTAACACACATATACACTTAGGTATAAGCCCCTCTGTATCCTTCACTTCTTGTTTGGTTTTCCCGGAGCTTCAAAGAGCAGACTCAAACACTAGATGATTATAGAAGTGGAAAAGGCAGAAACAAAGGAAAGCAGTCAAGCAAGAGACATAAAAGAAGCTTAAACAATAGTCACATGACTCCTAGTTCCTCCTAAAGGGTTATAGTAACAGTGTGATGCAGATCTTTGAGTTTTTCTGTGAGACTAAGACCCTCACCTGGTGAGGGATGGTGACTACATGCAGATCACAAGCATGAAGATCTCAGACTGGTTGGAACCAGAAAGTCAATGATTAAAGTTCTCTAAACATCACCCTGTTACTTCACCACCAACCAACCAGAAGAATGTCCATGAGCTGACCACACATTCTGCGACTCTCACTCCAAATGTTGCCTTTAAAAACTCTTCCCTGAGTACATAAAACTGAATCACTTTGCTCTACATCCTACAACATGTACTAAGACAACATTGTGAATCAACTATGTGCTCAGTCACTCAGTCACGTCCATCTCTGTGTGACTCCATGAACTGTAGTCCACCAGCCTCCTCTGTCCGTAGGATTTCCCAGGCAAAACTACTGAAATGGATTGCCATTTCCTTTCCTGGAGGGTCTTCCCGACCCAGGGATCAGACTCAAGTCTCCTGTATTGGCAGGTGAATTCTCTACCACTTAGCCACCTAGGAAGCCCCAGCATATTATAGCCGTGGGCTGAATCTGACTCGGGGCCCATTTTTATAATTCAAATTGTATGGGGACACAGCCATATCATTCAGGTATTGTCTGTGGCTGCGCTACAACCATAGAGTAAAGTAATTCTGCTTAATAACAGGGTTGAATAGTTACACATCAACAGAGTTTAGCAGTGGCATCAGAGACCCAAGGGGCCTCAAAACCTAAAATGTTCACCATCTGACTGATTGCAGAAACAGTTCACTGACTCCTGTATAACATCACTGAAGCTGCTAGATCACATGACCCAAGTGGTAGCATCTACAAACCAAGAGCAACCCCAAGCCAACAGCAAGGAAGAAAAGTGAACCTCAATCCTGCAACTACAACAAACTAAATTCTATCCACATTTGAATGGTTTGGATAAGGACCCCCTACATCCAGCTGAGAACCCAATCCTGGCAAACGCCTTATTGTCAGTCTGCAGAGATTCTGAGCAGAGAACACTAATTTATGGTAATTTGTGATGCAGAAATAGAAAACAATGAATGCATGTCACTCATTTAACAAGTATTCATAATATTCTTGCCAATAAACTAAGCAAAGTGTTACAAAATTTTCTGCTTAATTTAACCAAAATGGGCCTGGCACTCTATGTACTGTAAAGAGAGAGAGGAAGTGTGTGCGTGATATTTTAATTACTTTTCTATTTATGAAAAATCTTTTTAAAGTAATATGATTGCTATAGCCTGAGTGTTCATGTCACCATAAAATTCATACATTGAAATCCCAAACCTCAAAGATAATGTTGTTAGGAGGCAGAGCCAGTGGGAGGTGCTTAAGTTATTAGGGCATAGCCCTCTGGATGGCTTTGCCCTAATGATAAAAGGGGCTTCAGAGAGGTCCCCAGCCCTTTACACCCTATGAAGACACAACCAAGAGGCATTCATGGTAAAATAGGCAGAAGAGTACTCACCAGAATATGACCATATTGACTCCCTGATCTTGGACTTCCAGCCTCCGGATCTGTAAGAAATAAATTTCTGTTATTTAAAAGCTTCCCAGTTTATGGTATTTTGGGATAGCTGCCCAAATAGACAAAGATGATGACCATAATCAGAACAATTGGCACATTTCTTTGTAGTGGTCTTTATGAGCATATGAAATACCTGGTTTTTACTTATATACATCTTCTTTTTATTCATATGTATCTAAAGTAATAATGTCTAAAGATCTATTTTATATTTTAATTGCTAGCATTTTCCTGTATAATGAGTGCATTTTGTTTTTACTATTATGCTTAACTATGAGTCAGAGATAAAAATATTTACTTGTTTCAAGGAAATTATTGTTCCTTCTCATTTGTTATAGACACAGTTAAAAGAAAACCTGGTATTATTATATTTGTTCTAATTTGGGGAGCAAATATATATTTTGGGCTTCCCTGATGGCTCAGTGGTAAAGAATCTGCCTGCAGTGCAGGAGACAAGAGTTCAATCCCTGGGTTGGGAAGAACCCCTAGAGAAGGGAATGGCAACCCACTCCAGTATGCTTGCCTGGAAGATCCCATGGACAGAGGAGCCTGGTGGAACACAGTCCATAGGATCACAAAGAGTCAGACACAATAAAAGCGACTGAGCACACATGCACACACATACTACTTTACTGAGCTTAGTTTAACCTTATAATTTCTATTCTATACTCTATTTATATGCTTGTTTTTTTTATTTTGTTTTTACATAAAAATTTACTTTTAGACTATTTATCTTTTATCTTTAAAGATTCCTCTCACCAACAAGTAGTAGGAAAGAAACACTTACTCCTTGGCTTCCCCCACCAAATCTCCTGTCTGGTTAACTGGAGTAATGCTGAGCCAGGTGAATTGCCAAGGTAACACAGCAAGTCGGCGGGAGAACCGGACTCTTAAACACAGTAAGTGGTGTGTCACTACTTAGACACTGAAGTAGTGTCTTAAACACTACTTTTAAACTTACTCAGTGACATTTTAAAAACTAGAAATGGCACGAATGACAGAGTAATGAACTTATCTATCCCTAAAAGTCAGTATGCTATATAAAATAAGTTGTGGGATGATGATACAAGACAGAGAAAAATTTTAAAAAATACAGAATTTTTAGTTTTCAAGTAATAATTAATCAGATCATATCATGTAAAATAACTGAAGTGTCCTGGAAACTCAGAAATATTAAATAGTGAGTATATAGAGTGTCTCTCATAACTTCTAATTCATTATCCTCTACATGCATTATAGGCAGAGTTTTCTTAGTTCATCAAGGATAATAAAGTAAGATAAAGCATCACTATGTTTGAAAGTACTTTGCTCACCATTTTTGAGAGTCTGGGGGTACTAGAGAGAGGGACTGGTTTGGAAAGGAATTTTTGATCTCGATTATTTGGAGGTACCCAGGCAATCTGAAGCAGCAGCTCACCAGAAGCAAAGTAGTCGAATCAGTGATGTGCTTGGGCAGGCTCATCTCAGCTTGCAACAGTGGACTGTTACATTTTCAGAAATACTGTGAACTTGTTAGGATTATGATATGTGTGTGTGTTTATATGAGTGTGTTGAAAATATATACATATATATGTATAATAGGTGTATTATATATAGTTTATCTGTGCTATGTGTATATATTATATATATAAAACATATGTGTATATATCATATATGTGTTTATGCATAGTGTATACATATGTATATTTAAAAAAAATAAGTTGCATTGAAAGCAAAGACAACAATTTGGGACAATATTTTTCCCTTTCTATAATACAGCCAGGCTTCCCTGGTGGCTCAGGAGGTAAAGAATCCGCCTGCAATGCAGGAGACCCAGATTCGATCCCTGGCTCAGGAGGATCCCCTGGAGAAAGGAATGCCAACCCACTCCAGTATTCTTGCCTGGGAAATCCCATGGACAGAGGATCCTGGTGGGCTACAGTCCATGGGGTTGCAAGGAGTTGGACACAAGTGAGCAACTAACACTGCCCATAATACAACTAGGCAGAAGTATAGATATAAGGATAATACTTACATATATATATGTATAAAACTTGTTTTACTGTGTCTTAGATAAGAATTCTCTGAGAAGGCAATGGCACCCCACTCCAGTACTCTTGCCTGGAAAATCCCATGGGCGGAGGAGCCTGGTAGGCTGCAGTCCGTGGGGTCACTACGAGTCTGCCACGACTGAGCGGCTTCACTTTCACTTCTCCCTTTCATGCATTGGAGAAGGAAATGGCAACCCACTCCAGTGTGCTTGCCTGGAGAATCCCAGGGATGGGGGCGCCTGGTGGGCTGACGTCTGTGGGGCCACACAGAGTCGGACACGACTGAAGCGACTTAGCAGCAGATAAGAATTCCAGTGGCTAAGCTTTTATAGATGCTATGGCAGCCAGTGTATAATTGAACCGGAAGTGACTGAGAGAAAAGACATTCACAGTAGGAACTACATAATGCATGAAGGCACAGATGGGTTTGTAAACTTCAGAGACAATAAACAGCTTTGTTGACTTCAGTGTGAAAAGAAGAAAAATTGGGAAATAAGAGATGAAATTGTTTAAGAGTATATACTGGAGCATGTATTTTTTTAATGAAAGGCTTGACTATTTAGGGCATTTAAAGTATCCTCAAATGAGTAAAATGTAGCCTATTTCTCTAATTCTCAGACAGGTAGGTCCAAACTGGAAAGTAGGAAGGGGTTTATGAAGGTTACTGGTGGCCCAGTGGCTAAGACTATACACTTCAAATGCAGTGCGTGTGGGTTTGATCGCTGGTTGGGGAACTAAGATCCCACATGCTGTGTGGTATGGCAAAAGAAGAAGAAGCTACCAAAAATACTTTTCAAGAAAAATGTAGTTTTCCCTTATTGTTTATTCGAGGTCCCTATCTCAGCTCTTTGTTGTTTTTTTTTTATCAAATGATTCAAACCTGTATAAGGTAAGTACATCATGGATGGTGGGAGTGGGGTTTGCAGGCTGCATGTGGCGCCCACATCATGCCCTGGGGGCAGCACAGCAAACCATGGGAGGACACGGGCTCTAGAGCCTGTCTTCCTTGTGCCTAATGAAAAGTTAATTAAGCACCTGTGAGTATCCTGAAAGTACAGTGTTAATAGCTCAGTCACGTGGACTCTGCAACCCCATGGACAGTAGCCCACCAGGCTCCTCTGTCCATGGAATTCTTCAGACAAGAATATCAGAGTGTGTAGTCATTTCCTTCTCCAGGGATTCTTCCCAACCCAGGGATTGAACCCAGGTTTCTTGCATTGCAGGCAGATTCTTTACCGTCTGAGCCACCTGCCTGGGGAAAATTACTTAACCGCTCATTCCTTACCTATTGAATGTGGATTACAGGATCTGCCTCACAAGAGAATCAGTTCAGTTCAATTCAGTGACTCAGTTGTGTTGGACTCTGCAACCCCATGGACTGCAACATGCCAGGCTTCCCTGTCCATCACCAACTCCTGGAGTTTACTCAAACTCATGTCCATTGATTCCGTGATGCCATCCACCCATCTCATCCTCTGTTGTCCCCTTCTCCTCCCACCTTCAATCTTTCCCAACATCAGGGTCTTTTCAAATGAGTCAGTTTTTCTCATCAGGTGGCCAAAGGATTGGAGTTTCAGCTTCAGCATCAGTCCTTCCAAAGAACACCCAGGGCTGATTTCCTTTAGGATGGACTTGTTGGATCTCCTTGCTGTCAAATGGACTCTCAAGAGTCGTCTGCAACACCACAGTTCAAAAGCATCAGTTCTTTGGTGCTCAGCTCTCTTTATAGTCCAATTCTCACATCCATACATGACAACAGGAAAAACCATAGCTTTGGCTAGACAGACTTTTATTGGCAAAGTAGTGTCTCTGCTTTTTAATATGCTGTCTAGATTGGTCATAACTTCCTAAGGCAAACCATTCAATATCATGGTAATCCAAGTCTATGCCACAACCAGTAATGCTGAAGAAGCTAAAGTTCAACAGTTCTATGAAGACCTACAGGACCTTTTCAAAATAGCACACAAAAAAGATGTCCTTTTCATTATAGGTGACTGGAATGCAAAAGCAGGAAGTCAAGAAATATCTGGAGTAACAGGCAAATTCAGCCTTGGAGTACAGAATGAAGCAGGGCAAAGGCTAACAGAGTTTTGCCAAGAGAACACACTGGTCATAGCAAATACCCTCTTCCAATAACACTAAGAGAAGACTATATATGGACATCACCAGATGGTGAATGCAGAAATCAGATTGATTATATTCTTTGCAGCCAAAGATGGAGAAGCTCTATACAGTCAGCAAAAACAAGACTGGGCTGACTGCGGCTTGAATCATGAACTGCTTATTGCCAAATTCAGACTTACATTGAAGAAAGTAGGGAAAACCACCAGACACAAGCTGAGTGCCCTGTTAATTATTGAATGCTGCTTAAGGCACAATTTTGTTTCTGTGACTTAATTATAGTGCTTTGGTTGATTTATTTTGATTAGTACTGTTGGGAAAATATAGAGTTTATTTTGTAATATTCTCTTAAAAACTTGTATAACATTATTTTCTCATAAATTATAAGTGGAAAAAATATATTTGCTATGGATGGGAAATTTATTTAGAAGAATTACGTAAGACTTTCAAAAACTTAATGAAAATAAATGCTTTAGGTTAGTAATAATTGTACTTTCTTGACATGATAAAACTCAGCTTACTTATAATATGTTTAAGGAACAATTCTTCATTGAAAATTCTTATAAAATAGAAAGCATGGCTGTCCCATAGAACTCATTTGAATTAGACCTTGTAAATAATTTCTAATACTGAAGAAAATGATAAACTTTGAAATGTTCTACATTTCTCTGTCTATTTTATAAGCTCATTTTATAATTTGAAAGTTTTTTTGTTTATAAATGAAAATTATTCTAAATGATGCAAATTATTACTCTTCAATACTATAAATTATTGAACAGCTATAATTAATAAAGGTAATAAATTTAAACAGATCATAATGTGTCAATAAATACTACTCTTTTGTATTATAAATGTATAATTGTTTAATTTTTTCTCACAAAAACCTATAATTGACTTTTGTAATTTTATGTCATAACTACAAACTAAAAACCCTTTCTATAATGACTACTATAGTTTTCATGCTAGCAAAGTTTTCATTAATTACTATGCTCCTGAAATACTTCTTGAGATCCTCTACTATAAGGACCAAAATATTTTTGTTATCTCAACATGAGTTAACTTTAAATTATAATTTGAGGATTATAAATATTATATACACATACATGTATAATAAGTGCCAACATATTGATTTAACCACAACCAATAGATCAGTTTCGTGCTATCAAGTCATATTTGGGTTTATTCCTCTATATTCCCACTTACTCTCTGGGATCAAAGCCCTATTCTCTGTTACCTAGGGGTTATAAGCTTTATTTTTCAGCTATCTACATAGGAAAAAAGGGAAAGTTGCTACATTAGGTAATCTAAGGTCAATATCCAGAAAGTTGTTCTTATAAAGCCTACACTTGAAGATAAAAAGGAAGAATAACTCATATAAGGTTGCCTTGCCTCTGGACACAACCGGCACTTTTTGATTGACAACGAAAGGTCTACAGGAATAGAATCCTGGCACCATATTTAACGGTACACATACTCAAGAATTGGGGCTCCCTGACAATAACCAGATTTTTCTACTTCTGAGGCAACTTGGGGCAGGTCAGAGACTTTTGTACTGTTACATGCAACCCCTCCTCTGATTTTTAATTCCATTCCCTTCTTCTCCATTTGAAGTCCTCTCTTTTGGATGCCCAAAAATGTTTTGAAAGTAAAAAAAGAAAAAATTCAGATATTAATTTTTTCTATAACAATCCTAATTTCTCCATAAAGTAGAAGCTGAGTTGACCTGTGAGAAATGACCTTGCTAAATACCAAACTCATGAATTAGCTGATGAAACTCAGTCAAGGAGAGAAAGGAATATTAAATTGGGTCACAGGAGTTAATTGTTGGAACAGCTACAGAATAAATGATGCACCCCCTCACTGTAAGTCTTGCCGTTTTTGTGATGATCCTGGACATTAATGGTTTCTTTTTTTCTTTTTTTGGTGGATTTGAATGTTTGAGAAGAGGATTTTGGGGGGAGTAGTATTTGTCAGTATAACAACTGATCATTGGTGCATCAATTGCATTGTGACAATAAAAATGTGTTTTTATGGAGGCTTTTTACTCATTCTTCCTGTAGGATAGCCACTGGTGAATTTTTAACAAGAAAGAAATCCAGGATCTTTTATCTGGAATTTAAATGAGGAGTTGTTAAAATTTAGTTGGATAACACAACATAAGCAGTTAAATAAATTTAGTGTTACTCTGGTTACTCTGTTACTCTGTTACAAATATTATAACAAGGATAATACTTTATATAAACCCTATCTTTTAATATCATAACAGTATTAACTAAAATATTTGACCTCTTAAACAGTTTCCAGCTTCACAAAACAACATTGCACATAGTTTGATAATAAACATGATCACACACACAACACACTCTTTGACTTTTTAGATAAGCTTGTGGGCTAGTCAAGTTTGAGAAATAAGATAACAGAGTTTAGTTCCTCTGAGGACTTCTTACACTTCAAATTATTTAAGAAATGAGAAATATAACTTGCTTTGTTTAACCTTAGAATACCCATAAAAAAGACCCAGATAGATATGTTGAGACTGAGCTATAGACATACATACATATATATATATATACAAACTTATATATAAATAAAATCCACTGGTAGAATTAGTGGGAATACCTCTCAGTGTCTTGCCAAGTGTTTTGATCTGAAATGACACTTTCCCCTCTGATATTAATATGAATTATTAAGGTTAGGATTTTGGTTAAACTCTGGTTTTATAGTATCATTCATTTTAAAAGTTGATTTATAATATTATATGAACTTATGGTGTCATAAATAGAGCCATTGTTGACAAATTACCCACTGCAAAATATGGGATACAGAATTAGTATAAAATTATAATTTCTGGTTCTGTCTAAACAAATAAACTGCTTTTGAAATTAGTGTTATGAGTCATATAATTAATTTTTTAAAGTAAATTTTTTTTAATTTTAAGCATTCTTTTTATAAAAATTGATTACACTAATCCTGCAAAGATGAAAATAGGAACTTAGAACTAAGCATTATTTTCTAATTTACTATCTGCTTGATTATAATCTCCAAACAGTTTCACACAGCTAGTGGTCAGCTGACTTTCCAGAGAAAATGGCTTTGTTTAAGACACAGTATTGGAAAATGCTTTAGATTCAACCCAAATAGAAGGAAAATTGCATAAAAACCGGTTGCTGAGTTCTGATGTCTTCTCAGAGGTTTGGAGAAATAGGGTTTCTCCCTCCCTCACAATAGGAAAAAACCTTGAAGATGCAAATTAATAACTTCAATTAGATAATAAAAACTGCCATGGGAAAAAAATTGAAAATAAAAACAGGAATGTGAAAGCACTCTGCATCCACCAATCTGCTCACCTGAGACACAAGATGCTGAGTGGTATATAAGTTGGTAGGAAGAATCAACCAGAGTTGAATCGCTCAAGTCTGAGAGTAGGTGAGCCTGAGAGAGACACAGACAAATTAAGTTTACACCCAGTTCAGTTCAATTCAGTTCAGTCGCTCAGTCGTGTCAGACTGTTCACGACCCCATGAATCGCAGCATGCCAGGCCTCCCTGTCCATCACCAACTCCTGGAGTCCACCCAAACCCATGTCCACCGAGTCAGTGATGCCATCCAACCATCTCATTCTCTGTCGTCCCCTTCTCCTCCTGCCCCCAATCCTTCCCAGCATCAGGGTCTTTTCCAATGAGTCAACTCTTCACATGAGGTAGCCAAAGTATTGGAGTTTCAGCTTCAACATCAGTCCTTCCAATGAACACCCAGGACTGATCTCCTTTAGGATGGACTGGTTGGATCTTCCTGCAGTCCAAGGGAATCTCAAGAGTCTTCTCCAACACCACAGTTCAAAAGCATCATTCTTCAGTGCTCAGCTTTCTTTACAGTCCAACTCTCACATCCATACATGACCACTGGAAAAACCACAGCCTTGACTAGACAGACTTTTTCTTGGCAAAGTAATGTCTCTGCTTTTAAATATGCCATCTAGATTGGTCATAATTTTCCTTCCAAGTTTACACCCAAGAACCCCACAAGTACTTGCAAGGAAAACTGGAAAAAATCCTAAAAAAGTTTCCCTCCAGGTGTTGTCTGGGTGTGAAATGGCAGAAACCAATATGCTAATACCAAATACCTAACGTCCACCCAATCTCATCTTCCCTATCAACCCTATGGAAATAAAGCCTTAATACACAAGGTCCTCAAACTCTGATGCCCAGGTACACAGATGGGAACACACTGTACTTAGGAGAAAAAATGAGAGAAAAAAAAAACAAAAAACCCTAATCCCCTGTGAAGGGTGAATGCATATCTAACACTAAGCTGGCATTCCCTCTGGAGGAGGGCCAGGATCACTTGTGAATCAGACCTCACATCTGGGTCCCACTGTTTACATTTACCTGCCTAAGACTGCAACTTGGGATGACTTCAGAGACTGTACCTTCCTGCCCAACCCCCAAATCCCAGCATGCAACCACCATACTCACAAGATTTGAGTAAAAATAAAAGTGGAATAAAAGTGATGGAAAGTGAAGAGTAAAATGTGAAATTTCTTAAAGAAAAAAGTAAAGCTAGAATTTGACAGTAAAGCTGTATTAAATCCTGCTTATCAAAGGCCAGAGAGTGTCCTTGAAAAATCTTTCTCATAGACTCTTCCTTAATTTCTAATAGTATACATTTTTAATGGAAAGGATATTGGAAAAATAGTTGCCCTGATTTTTTTAGCTAAGACACAAAAGAGAAAAAAAAATAAAGTGGGGCAATTAATGAGGCTTCTCCAAGGGGGAATCAAGTAACCAATTTTCTTTTATTTCAAGGTCCAGTTTCTCTAAATACTAAAGAAAAACCTTGTAGATTTTGGATTGATGGGCTGTATGACAGGGCTTCCCTGTAGCTCAGAGAGTAAAGAATCTGCCTACAGTGCAGAGATCTGCGTTTGATCCCTGGGTCGGGAAGATCTCCTGGAGAAGGGAATGGCTGCCCACTCCAGTATTCTTGCCTGGAGAATCCCATGGACAGAGGAGCTTAGAGGGCTACAGTCCATGGGGTCGCAAAGAGTCAGACATGACTGAGTAACTAACACACAACATGTCATATTTCCTGAAATTCTTATCCAACCTCTCACTGGAAACCAACAGCAATCAAGTGCTAGGTACTTTCAATAGCCTTCAAACACTTTGCCTGGCCCAGGCTGTCACCCTCAGACCTTTCAGAGAGAAACATTCTTCTCTCCTTGTGACATCACACCCACTATCTAAATGGGGTGGGGTAGGGGATTTACTCTAAAATAGAAGCTCTCCTGATGGCATATTCCTGGACATTCCTGAGGACTCCTTGATCATTATCAGGTCATAGATAATTTAAACATTGATTTACCTGTACTCTTAATAGAAGTTACATGTCTAAGGAATGATCATACTTCTGGGCATAAATAATGCTGATTTTCCAACATCATTTGAGCTGAACTCCCCAGACATCTCCCCAGGCTTGGAACACACCCTCTAAAACCAGAACCAAAGGAAGTACTGAAATCAGTAGCAAGATAAAAACCAAAGAGAGAAATGTCATTAACCTTGTATTACTCTTTGTAATAGTTCTATTTTCTAAGCTAAGAAAGAAAAGGAAAAAAAAAAATCCAAAGGGCAGGGATAGTGATTTGTTCAAAATCTCAGGAGTAGAAATCTAGTAATAAATTCCTACATCCTAATAGTTCAATTTAGTTCAGTTCAGTTGCTCAGTCATGTCCGACTCTTTGCTACCCCATGGACTGCAGCACGCCAGGCCTCCCTGTCCATCACCAACACCCGGAGCTTACTCAAACTCATGTCCTTTGAGTCAGTGATGCCATCCAACCATCTCATCCTCTGTCGTTCCCTTCTCCTCTCGCCTTCAATCTTTCCCTGGATCAGGGTCTTTTCCAATGAGTCAACTCTTCACATCAGGTGGCCAAAGTATTGGAGTTTCAGCTTCAGCATCAGTCCTTCCAATGAACACCCAGGACTGATCTCCTTTAGGATGGACTGGTTGGATCTCCTTGCAGTCCAAGGGACTCTCAAGAGTCTTCTCTTACACCACAGTTCAAAAGCATCAATTCTTCAGTGCTCAGCTTACTTTATAGTCCAACTCTCACATCCATACATGACTACTGGAAAAACCATAGCTTTCACTAGATGGACCTTTGTTGGCAAAGTAGTGTCTCTGCTTTTTAATATGTTGTCGAGGTTGGTCATAACTTTTCTTCCAAGGGGTAAGCGTCTTTTAATTTCATGGCTGCAATCACAATCTGCAGTGATTTTGGAGTCCAAAATAATAAAGTCTGCCACTGTTTCCACTGTTTCTCCATCTATTTGCCATGAAGGGATGGGACCAGATGCCATGATCTTAGTTTTCTGAATGTTGAGCTTTAAGCCAACTTTTTCACTCTCCTCTTTCACTTTCATCAAGAGGCTTTCATCTGATTAAGTCAGTCCTACCCAAAATAATATCCCTTTTGAATCACTCAGTCAACTAATTAGGGATCTCAGTTACACCCATAAAATATTTTCACCTTTGCCATGTAACAAAATCTAATCACACAAGTGCTATTTATCATTTTCACAGGCCCTTATCTACACACAGGGGAGACGATTATACCAGGGTTATATCAGGAAATTTGGGGGGCTGTTTTAAGCATTCTTCCTACCACACCAATTTTCAGAAATTGCCAATACTGTATGACTTAACCACATCTTTGTTAACCAAATCTCTTACTTGGGAGTTTAAACATGAATAGGCATTTTGTGCTTTAAAAAATTCAATAACCTCTCACAAAGGGCCTTGTTGCTGTTGTTTAGTGGCTAAGTTGGGTCCAACCCTTTGCGACCCCATGGACTATAGCCCACCAGGCTCCTCTGTCTGTGGAATTTTCCAGGCAAGAACACTGGAGTGGGTTCCTTCTCCAGGGGATCTTCCCAACCCAGGGAATGAACCCACATCTACTACATTGGCTAGGAGATTCTTTACCACTGAGCCACCAGGGAAGCCCCACTATAGGCCTACCTTGTCACTAATCTCACTACCTATTCATACATGAGGGATCTGAACAAGCCCTCAGTGTTCTGACTCAACACTATGGAATTATCACAGATCAGTATCAGGTAACTGTTTTCCATTAGCCCAGTATCAAAGTTCTACTCAATTTAAAGCTGATTGCCACAGTTGCTACATCATAGAGGCTTCCACTAGCATAATTTCTTTTAGGGTTTATCTTAAACTTAATGGTTTAAGCTGCTAAATTTTGCTGTCCACCAAAACTATGCAATATTTATCAGTAGGAAGGCTATTTCCTATCAAGCCATATTACTTACTATATTTCCATTCATCATTGTAATACTTTAAATTCTACTTTTCTTGCACAGAAGGAAAGTTCATTAGTCCCTAAGTGCTGGTTTTCAAATATCTGATAGATTTATCAAAACAATCCTAATAGCTGTATTAAAACATGCCTGGAAAACTAGATTTAATCTTGTTTGTAGATCATATCTTAATAATGGAACCAGAAAATATCAGGCAGGATACATTATAACAGATCTCAACTCACCACTAGAATATGATCCCTTTCTAGAAGCAAAATTTGCCCAGATGACAAAGTTGGTTCTGATCCCCATAAGCTTCCTGGCTAAATGAAAAAAGTAGGGTGTTTATATACACACTAACGGTAGAAACACTTTTGAAATAGTCTATGATTTCTAAAAGCTTTAGAATAGAGATGCTTAATCTAAGGAGGAACCCTAATTTAGAATGGTCAGCATATTAGGGGTATTTTAATAGCTCTAATTTTTTTTTAAGGAATTGGCTATTTTCAGGTTAGATGTCCATAAAGAGATACTCAAGCCAAAGGAAATGACCTTGTTGATCATTATGCCAAACAGGCAATCACTATTAAGACCCCAAACCTCACAATACTAAAAGAGACCATGTCTTTGGAGAATATCAAAGAGAATATTATGAAATATTATATAATGCCAGCCTTTAGTCCAGAGTAAGAAAAAACATTTATTACATGGAAATAACTCCTCCCACAGTTAGAGTGACTGCTTATAGCCTCAGATAATTTTGAAAAATTTTACATGATATTTATTACCCACACATCTAGGATAAATTGGTCACTGTACTCACTCAACATTAGGGAGGAGATATTTATTTCATTGACTTTTGTTAATAAGTAGTACAGAAAATTTAAAATATTATTGGACAAACCCACAAGGGCATTTTGATCAAAAATCACTGGGTGCCCTCCAGCAACTGATAATGAGTTTGGAGTACAAAAGCCTACTGGCTGTTATCCAAAACTGGACAGGGCTATGTTACCTTTTTACACTGATGTCTGCCTAAAGGGTGTAGGTGAGACTATCACCTAGCACCCATTGCCACCCATCAGTTTCCACTCTCAACAGAAGAAGAGTTAGTTATATGAGTTTTAGAGTGAGATCATCTGTACCTGGATTTTAGGACAAAAACCCTAATCACATAAGGAGAATTCTAGATTTTTTTCCTCTGCTTCAGCCTCTTCATGTTTTACAAAACAATCAGAAATAGGGTGAATTCTACATGCTATGGTTCAGAGACTTGTCGAGGCCAACTAGAAAATGCCACCAACTCTTGGCCCAAAATGTCACTAATTTGGGCAGGTAGTTAGTAGTTAAGAGCAAAGTAACTTTAGATATGATATTGGCCTTTCAGAGTGAATGTATGTGATTTTACAAGAAAAATATTGTGCTTGAATCCCTAAAAATATCTCTGGCATTTTTAACATTACTAGAATAATCTGAATGAATGAAATCCAGCAATGAAGTACAGATGATTCCTGATTTATCGTGACTCAACAGGATTTTTCAACTTTCCAATAGTGAGAAAGCTATATGTGTTCAGTAGAAACTGTACCTGAATTTAGAGTTTTGATCTTTTTCGACATTTTGTCTGATCCTTTATTGTGATGCTGGGCAGTGGCAGCCACAGCTTCCTGTCAGCCACACAATCACAAGAGTGTATTTGTGTGTGTGGCACTCAGTAGTATCCTACTCTATGTGACCCCATGGGCTGTAGCCCACCAGGCTCCTCTGTCCATGTGGTTCTCCAGGCAAGAGTACTGGAGTGGGTTGCCATTCCTTCTCTAATGGATCTTCCCAACCCAGGGATCAAACCTGGGTCTCCTGCATTGCAGGCAAATTATTTACCATTTGAGGCACTAGGGAAGCCCCAGTCACAAGGGTATGTGTGTATATGTGAATGTTCTTAGTCGCTCAGTTGTGTCTGACTCTTTGTGATCCTATGGACTATAGCCCCCCAGGCTCCTCTGTCCATGGGGACTCTCCAGGCAAGAATGCTAGAGTGTGTTGCCATGCCCTCCTCCAGTGGATCTTCCCAACCCAGGGATCAAACTCAGGTCTCCCACATTACAGGAAGATTCTTTACCATCTGAGCCACCAGTTCAGTTCAGTTCAGTTCAGTCACTAAGTTGTGTCCGACTCTTTGCAACCCCATGAATCACAGCACACCAGGTCTCTCTGTCCATCACAAACTCCTGGAGCTTACTCAAACTCACGTCCATCGAGTCGGTGATGCCATCCAGGCATCTCATCCTCTTTCGGCCCCTTCTCCTCCTGCCTCCAATCCTTCTCAGCATCAGGGCCTTTTCCAATGAGTCAACTCTTCGCATGAGGTATCCAAAGTATTAGAGTTTCAACTTCAGCATCAGTCCTTCCAATAAACACCCAGGACTGATCTCCTTTAGGATGGACTGGTTGGATCTCCTTGCAGTCCAAGGGACTCTCAAGAGTCTTCTCCAACACCACAGTTCAAAAGCATCAATTTTTCGGC